TCCTTCACCCACAGCAAAACAAGCTTAATTTGATTCATACCCTTAGGAAGAAAAAAAAAAAACTAAGATTACTCACAGGGCTGTGATTCAGCTCCCCAACCCCTTCTTCCTCCTTCCTTTCTCCCACCCTGCCCACTCCCATATTCACTCCCACCCAGTGGTGTTGCCATAAAAAAATTGAGTCAGTTAAAATGGGTGGGGAAAGAAGACAACTAATAAAAAAAACTTTTCTGAGTGAAGTGTATGCCTTAGATCTGAGGGCATTTCAGGAAGACCGGCAAAGCGCCTCCTTGTTATATAACATGAAAAGCTTGGAAAACAGGCCAGTCTCAGAAGAAGGTGCTCTCAGGGTGCCATATATATATTTATATATTTGTGAGCATGTCTGTAAATAGGTTTCTACAAGAATATTCTAATACTAAGAATCCTTAAAGTATATAATGCTAACCTATTGTTGGTATAGGGTACTTTGCTAGGATCCCAAAGTAAACACAACAGCCCTCCAAAGATTGGTGGTGATTATTATTTCTAGAGGCAGGGTATTGTTATATAGCCCAGATTGCCCTTGAACTTGTGATCTTCCTGCCTTAGCCTCCCAAGTGCTGGGATTACAAATGTATGTCACTATACCAGTCTTCTCTGAAGATTCTGCTGATCACTTATACAATATAACTGATGAAAAGAATGATGCAAATAAAATCAGGTGACTTATTTGCCTTCAAATAACTTAGCAGCCTGGGATAGTATGCTACTTCCCCACCTCCCACCCATGGCAATTCAATGCTTTTGAGGTGGCTGGGCTGCTTATCCATAGTGAGCTGGTGATGATGGTAATCATTTTAAAAGCAATGATTTGTGAGTGAAAATGTAAGTGATTTCTCCCTCATCTCTTTTTCATTTATTTTCCTTCTCCCAATTAAGTAAGAAGTAATAGTATCTGTCCCAGAACCAGTACTAAATCTCAGCTGCCTGTCTACACCTTGACCTTTAATTTTGATTTCAGGAACCTTCTACCATTGGATCATGTTTTTTAAAATTCGATTTATTTATTCTTTGTCTGTGTACTGGTACTGGGGCTTGAATTTAGGGCCTAAGCTCTGTTGCTGAGCATTTTCACTCAAGGCTAGCACTCTACACTTGAGCCACAGCTCCACCACTTGACTTTTTTTGGTAGTTACTTGGAGAGTCTCACAAATTTCCTGTCCCGGCTGGCTTCTAACTGCAATCCTCACATCTCAGCCTCTTGAGCAGTTAGGATAATAGGTGGGAGCCACTGGTGTCTGTCTTTATTTGGTATTTCAAAATGGCCTGTGGAGCTCCTATTGGATCCCCAAAGCAGCCTTTAGCTTAGCTGTTAAATCAAATTTGTGTGCATACTTGAACTCGGCTCCCACACAACCGGAAAAGCAGTCTTCCTTCCCCCAGCACTCCTTTGTAATCCCAGCCACCTTCCCATTTTGCTGGCTTTCCCCCATTTTGTTCCCATCTGTCTCTGAAACATTGCTGGATAAAGATAAGTTGGAGCAGTTGATCATTCTCACACAGAACACAGCACTTCTCCTTCAGAGCACTGCTGAGGAGTTGCATATTTATAAAGCTTGCCCACGCCTTATTGATGTCTGGTGGCTGTCTTTTTTTTTAAAAAAATTCAAATACGTTAGGGGATGACTATCAACTTTTGCTAGCTGTTTGTGGGATGCTTGAATAGCTTCATAGAGTTTTCAGATGGAAGCTTGTGCTATATGTAGATAATGGAATGCTGGGATTTTCTGTCATGACACCGGAGAAAAGAAACTGCACTTCTGATACTCTTTCCTGGATGTATACCTCATGCCACTGATTATTGGTCCGATCTCATAATGACCAATAAGGCAGAGTTGTGTGCTCAACAGCACTGTTTCTTCTGAGTCTTTGACTCACTCACCTTCTTTCCTGGCCCAACTTAGGTAGTTCTTAGGCCAAGACATTGAACTCACCATTATCCCCAGCTGTAGTCTATATTATTGGCCTAAGGAGCCTCTGACAAGTTTAGAGGGAAAGACCCAAATAAATCTTGGAGTGAAGTCCACCACTGAAATACTGGGAAGAAAAATTATACCTGTGGATTGATTGGCTAGTGCTAATTGCAACTAGTAAAATGATTTTTTTAAGTGATTAAATTGAACTGGATGTCAGTCGCTTATGCCTATAATCCTAGCTACTCAGGTGATGAAGTCAGAGGATCAGAATTTGAAACCAGGCCAGGTAGGAAAGTTCATAAGACTCTTATCTCTGGTAAACCACCTAAAAAAGCCAGAAGTAGAACTTCAGCAGAGCACTAGCCTTGAACACAAAAGCTCAGGAACAACACCCAGGTCCTGAGTTCAAGGCCCAGTACTGGCTGGTATCAAAAAACCTTGATGGAATTGTTTTTTTCTTTTTCATTCATTCATGTTATTTAGGGACCAACTAAGCTGCACAGTATTCCAAAATTACTTTCAAGCACTGGTCTCAGCCCTTACATGTAATAACTTTGATCGAAGTAAGTGTCAGCTAGAAATGGCAGCTCAGGATTCAAACCTCAAGTCTGGCTTCCGAAGCCAGACTTTAAAAAAAATTATAGGTCCTTTTAGATGTTACAATTTTAGTTGTTTGATTTTATTAACATTCTCTTTTCATAGCCTGTGTTTATTTCTATTGAAAGACATGTAATTATAGATTTTATGTTCTCTGTGTATCATAAGAAAGTAACTGTCTTTAAGCCAATAAAATTTACTCAGAAGAAGTCACTGACTAGATTAATACATCTCTGTTGAAGTATGAGTAAATTTTAATAACTGGGTGAGAAATATGTGCAAGTCATTAAAATAGAAAGACTTCAAAAGTGTAATTTGGAAATGCACTTCCAAATAGTTGTGCATAAATTGGATTTCTGCAAACCAATTTCATATGTAAATTTTAATGTGGTTTATTCCAATTAAATTTTACAAGGATTCTTTTTGAAAAGTGGGTAGTCAACTCGTGAGTTAACTTCCTTATATTGTCTGTGTGTATACCTTTTTCCTACCTTCATCTACAAATCAGAGAATTTGATATGTGAAGATATTCCTAGATCATAAAAATAGAATGTGTATTCTATCTACATCATAACATAGCTAGTTATCCATCAAAGTACAGTCAACAATAAATGCCAGTGGCTGACTTTGCTCAAGGTTAAAGGAAGTATGCTGGCAAGAGATAACTGGAATTAAACTGCTCAGCCCCAGCCTTCCAGAATTTTCATGTGAGGAATTACACTTCTTATTATCACATTCTTCCTGTCCTTATGATACCTGGGAACAATTTACCAGGTGAAAGGCCACTCCTGTCCTGTCTTGGTAGACAACTTTTTACTGAAGAGGAAGACTGCGGTCATGTTGATTTATTTTCAGGGTTTTGTCTTGCAGCTTTTAGGCAGGTTGACATGAAAGAGCCCTGGAGATTATTTTGTCTGGTGTAATTGTGGGGTGTTTGTGTTTGTGTGAGAGAAACTCGAATTTGTGTGCACACCGCAGTATGTACAAAAGTGAAAACTGCAACATGGCTCTCATATCTCTGACCACTTCCTGAAGAATCTGCCACGTGGGGCTCATACTTGAGAATTAAAGCTTGGATTCCTGGGACAGACAGTTTCCCACTGTTTTAAGAAAATAAAACAGGCAAAATCTTAAAACACCTCAAACCTGTTTCTGTTATCTGAATTCATATGTTTGATTAGTTTAGTTATAAAAACAATGTACAATTCTGAAATGTAAATGATCCCACTGCTTTCAAATCTCTTAGAATGTACATTCTGGTCCTTAAATGTACAAGTTAAAAAGAAAGCTGTGAGCCTGTCAGATCAACTACAACCACCAGTCTAATAAAACTGAGTCACATTCAAATGGGCTGCCCTTACACTACCCTCCCATTCTAGGGGAAGCATGGCTGGGGGAGGCAGTCTGAGTCATCACCTGGTTTGTTTGACATGTGCTTCCTTCCATAAATTGGGGATGGCAAGCAGCACAGTGTTCCCAGCTTGTCTCAGAGAAGGAGCTGTTGCAGCCTCTCTCAGTTAAAATAGGGCCTCTAGGTTGGAATGGTAAAACTGAGCCCGTATTTTGACTTGATGTTAGAAGACGGGGGTGAAGAAATCTAGTCCAAACAAGGACCATTTGTAAGTACCAGAATTTGTTTTCCAGAGGTTGGAGAAATGGTCGTGGTATTAATGATTGAATTGTTTTCCTAGAACATGAGAGGTAAATTGAGGGATAAGAGATAAATTGAGGGTGTTGAAAATAAATTGGCAGCTAGTTGAAATATGTGCGTGTGTGCACACACATGCGTGAGTGCACGAGAGAGATCAGAAAATTTGTCCCAATGATGTTTAATTTTTTGCCTAATTTGTCCAACTATTTTTAAAGAATTATATTTCATGTGGGAATTAGAAAAAGTGACAAATTTGAATTCTCCTTAGGAGTGACTTTGCCAGGGCTCACTGGAGGTTTTTTGTTGTTGTTGTTGTTGTATGAAGTTTAGAGTGTAAAATTGTCCAGGAAACTACGGAGAAAGGAGAGTAAGGAATAGATTAGTAGCTGAAGTGGGTTGGTAAATGCAGCCTCTCTACTTGGGATTCTTTTTTGATACATGCCACACATTCCTCTGATTTGTATCTGGCTTGGTGGTGGGTCTTTCTCTGAGCTGTGAGAAGCTTGGGGTGTTCCTTGTTTTAAAGCTGGAGTTGTCTTGTCGCAGCTGGGGTGTTTTCTGTTTCATCTTAAGGCGTTTTTTTTTCTTTTCCTGAATGAGTGTCCTTTGTGTAACCCCAGTAATTCAGAAATCTTACAGTCATAGAGACTGCTTTGTCATTTGACTTAGGTACAAGGTACTGGCTGTGATTGGTCAGCTGCTAATTGTTGGGTCCCTATAAGAAGTCCTGAGTCAGGCGGCTGTCCAGTCTGACTGCTCTCCAGCCTCAGCAGCTTGCTGTTCAACGGTGGGACAGGTGGGGGGCAGGGGGTCTGTCCAGTGATTCCAGCCACATGTGATAGATGACCAGTGATGCTTTCCTTAGGATCTGTACAGCACTGTAAAGCATGCACACTGGTAGTGGCTGACTTGATCAAATTCTGGCTTCGTGAACCGGTAACTGTCACTTTAATACAGCTTACTGATTAAACACAAAAAAATGCAGTTGAAAATCGTTGCCAGGAACTTGGTGTGGACTCACTCCTCATTTCCCCCTCTCCTTGTTCTGATTTGTTTTGTCACAGGAATGAAAACGCACATAACTCTTTTGGAAAACTTGGTGGGTAAAGTGCCTTGTGTGATTGTGGAACAAAGACGTTTTCTAATCAGATTTATCAAGCTGCAAAGAGGGAATTTTAGCAAACGAATGGAAGCAGCAACGTTCTGTCACCAGGAAATACTGCTTTATCCAGAATTGGTAAGTGAAAAGTGCTATTGCTCCCTAATAGATATCATATGGTGTGTGTGGGAATTGCAAAATTGTTCACAGACCCCTAACAACTGCGTGGAAGAGAGAAGGCATAAACATCGAGCCCCAATCTATACATAAAGGCTGTGATTAAAAGCTACAATGAAGCCAGGTAATTAACAAAACTGGGAGGAGGGATACCAGTTTAGCAGAACATAGCTAATTCTAGTAGAGCTTGCTTTTGAAACATTGTTTCCCCCCCCCCTTTTTTTGAGTGTTGGGGGGAAGGGGAACATAAAATCCAAACTGATCAAGTTGGAGTGTGTGGTATTAACTTTTCATGGTTATGTATTTGCATTTAGTATGAACGGCATATATGAACTTGAAAGCTTTCAGAATTAAGCCTACTTGCTTTCTTTGCCTCTCTCTATTTCAAGGTGTCAAGTATTTATTTAATTAGAACTTTGCAAAATGAAAGTTGAAGTAATACTTCGGAAGTCAAAGCGGCAACATCTCCAGATGGTATGAAGGCAGACGATGATGGTAATAGTTTTTTCCTTTTTTTTACATATTGGTGTCATGGAATTTAAGATAGTTCTAGTGATTACATTATGAAGCAAAAGGGTGGTTATTTATTATGTATGGTCTATTACATTGTGTGACAGATTGTGATAGCAGTTCTTACTGGTTTCATGTACAGGTTTCTGTCTGTCTTGTCAATGTCTGAAACCTGAATTTCAGTTTTCTAATCTTGAATCTTAGCTGCTCCCATGTTTATGGTTTCCAGAAAAATGCAATAAAGCCTAGAATACTTGTACTTACATAATAATCTAACTCATGAACCATGAAAAATGCAGTTTTTTTAATTAGGCAAGGATGTCTGATTTCTTGATTTAAATTTAAGAATGATTGTACACAGTAAGTTGGACAGAATAAAAAAAGAACATTAGAATGGTGGGTGGCTACTTGTTTTATTTTTAATTAAGTATTTTACTGATCAATAGAAGTAACTATGTGATGTCTACTTACAGAGTTAGGTGGGAAAAGAATACCTTGTCTTTAACTGCTAACAATCGTGTAGGCAATCTGGGCCACTTACATTTATGAATGTGAATATATGATGAAAATTTATTAACAGAATTGTTTTGGATTACATAGGATGCATTAGTATTGTTTTCTTTTTAATACCTTAAACTAAATTTAAAGTTAAATTCATATTTCTGACTTGTGATTCCTGTTCTGTTGCTTGGAAATCTTAAAAATGGTTACTTTGAGAAAGACAATAATGAAATAGGATGGTGATAATTGCAGTTTCTCTGTATTGGTGATAGAATGGAGGGAAGACGTTCACTAGGATCTGTTCATCTATCTTTCTTCTCTTCCTAACACGGAGGATTTTAAAGATTGTTTTTCTTAGACAAACAACTACTAAGTCCTATTCATTTATTTTTAAAGAAATAGAAAGACAAGAAATTGGTGAAGCAAGTCATTTGACTTGACTTAATTAAGTGGTTCACCTCCCCTCCCCCCGCAAAGCACATGAATTTAGAGGCTATAGTCTTAAGGACAGAACATTGGTGACAAAGTCTGAAGGTCTTTCCAGATCATTTACACCCTCCTGCTGGCGTGTATACACTCACTCAATTATTTTCAGCTTTGTATTGCCTGTAAATACTTTGGTGAAACATTGTGATTTAACAGTGTGGCTAAAATACTGCCATGCTTGATGGAAAAAGAGCCTCATTCTAAAATTTAAATTTCTCTCATGCCGTTAGAGGCCATTGTCTCAAGTGACAGAAATGTAATAGATGTAGGTTGGAACCATAAATGTTAGAAAATATATCCCAGAAGAATTATTTGAGAACCTCATGCTTCCAATTCTATTTGCCATTCCTCTGTTCTTAATTTATTAATTTTTCAATATACATCTAAAATGAATGACATAACATTGCCCTGAATTCTTCCCTGGAAGGGTCACGGAATGTATTTGCATTTTTGTATACTCTGTAAAAATTAGTAATGGCATGCATATGTCTTCTTTGACAAAATTTTCTCTAATAATAATTGATAATTGCATGTTCAGGAATAGAAACACTTTTCCTTTGGGCTCATTTTCTTCAATTTCTTTTGGTGTGGTATGCATCTTTGTCCAATTAAATTGTTCTTTAGGGGATGTATATGTATATGGGTATATATTGGATTTGAAGGAAAACAAGTGGCTGTTTGTTCCGGCCCAGATAAGGCTCACAGTGTTGTTCCTATGACAACGGAGTGGTTGGGTGTTGAAATGTAGCTTTAAGTTCTCCGTTTGGAAATGTCATTCAGACCTCCCACTACAGTCTCATCGAGTAGGAGGATAATAAGAAGGGGGAAAAAACCATGAAGCAACATAAGTATCTCTATTTGTTTCATGTCTTCCTGACTTTGCCTTTGTGTACTGGATCACCATGGGAGTGGTAAACATCAATCTTGAACAAAGCAATACTTTAATATAAAAATAAAAATCAATGGAAAGTGGTCAGAAAAGTTGGGGAAGATAAATAACACCATATGCAGGCAATAAAGAGGTAGGAAAAGTTAGCTTCCCTGGGTTTGTGCAAATCCTTTGACTGACCAGCAGTGAGAACATCTTGAACCAGTTATTGTATAGCTCTTCAAGAGCTTGCAAATGTTTCCTTCAAATGCAATGTGGAGAAAATTCCTTTGGTAGCAGCAGGATGGTTTTACCACTTCGGCATAACATTTATTCACCTCCCTTAGACTGACTACAGAGGGTTCTGTGTTCTTGCAAGGCACATGTTTTTAAGCCAATCATTCTCTTGTCATTCAATAGCCCTTTTTTTGCATGTGAAAACAAGTGGTGCTATTAAAATAGTGATGAAACATCTTACATTCAGAAGTTACTTCAAAAAATTCTTTAAAAGATTCTTTGAGACTTGCTATTGGAAATAGATTGGTTGACTAGGGACCTATGAAATGTCATATTAGAGTAGAAGGATTGTTTAGACTAGTATGTGGCATTGATTAATTTTGCAGTTGTGGATTTTCCATGTCCAAAGGGCTTCCTATTTTTTACCTCTAAATGTTTTTGACTATTTGTTTTGTCCCCAGCACCTTTGGAAATTAGCAACCAAAAAAATGTTAGTGGATTTTGCCTCTTAATAAATACAACAACAAAATAATAATAAATACAAACAACAAAAAAAATGGGCAAGAGGAGTCTGAAAACCAAAAAGCAGTTTATTTAGCAAACTGGTAACATATTCTGACCTGAACTTAACTAAGGTTAGCTGTTTGTAGTCATTAGGTCACTGTGAGTCTGTATGCTTGATCACAGAACTGTTCATCCAACTCCCTCTCTGAGTTAGATACATACATACATAAACACTCCACCCCCTGTTACCTTAATAAAAGTAATAATAATAATATGATCTAATTATGTGCTCAGTGGGGGGTTGTGGGCCTCCAATTAGTAACATAGATTGAGCTCATATATATGCCAGGCACTGTCTCAAATTTATTACCACATCTAGAACAGTGCCTGGCACAAAAGTACACAGTAACTATAAATATAGTAAATATAAATGTATAAATAAAATGTTTTTACATGCATTAACATCTCTGGTTGAAAAAAAAATAATCTCCCACTTGACATGGAGAAATCCATGTGCAGAGAGCTCGAGCAAATTGCCCAAGATGACAAAGGAAGGAAGGAAGCAAAGGAGCCACGTTTTGCAAGCAAGCAGTTTGGCTGCAGTCTGCTCTTAATGAGTCTGATTGAGATAAGAGAGGGAGGCACTGGAACCCCTAACTGAGTAAGAAGGGTGTTTCAGCTGCTTCCTTTATTCCTGGGCACCTTGTGCATGGTGTTGTCAGAAGCTAATTATCTCACCATTATGGTCATTACCAGAGACCTGGGTGGGACGTTGGGCCTTCCAGGGATCTGACCTCCACCCATAAATCAGTCTGACTTCTTGTAACTTGAAAAATTAAGACATAGGAAGTAACTATTTTCTTAACCTCAGGGAAATTTTCTTGTGCAGTGTGAAGACATTTTCTAGGCCCTTCCCCAGCAGGAGGTTTAGGTTGTCAAGGGGAAATAGGAGTGAGTGACTGATTCTATTGGAGTTGTACTGTGGCATTGCAAAGGCTCTTGAGAAATCAGGCACCTATAGAAACTGACTGCATGACTGAATGCATAGAAGGGTACTTTGAATCTTAGTTCTCAGTAAAACATATAAGGTGTCTCTTCAGCCTCTGTATACTGCTAGGGATTAAAATAACTATATTTAAACTGTTGGCAACCCTCTTGCAATTCCCAACTTTCCTCTGTGCTTCTGTTGTCTTCTTAGCACTTCTCTCCTTCTTACATTGTATATTTTACTTATTTGAGTTATTTTGACATTTTGGTTAAACAGTACTAGTATTAGTACCTTTGAACAAATTTAAAGGTTCTGGATGTATTTCTTTGACTTGTCTTTAAACTCATTCCCTCCTGCCAGTTGAGACTGCTATAAGTAACCAAGAAATTGCCTCATGGAGTTTTCTCACCATTAATTATTGTTTTTGTATTCATAATTATGAGAACTTACTTAACCTTTGCTGATCATAGAGTCAGAATTTGGAGAAATTGTAGAGAATATATATGATGATGTCTTCATTCAAGAAAGCAAACTGAGCCAAATTTGAATTCAATCATTAGGAATGTTTGGAAATTTAGAAATGAAAGACAAATTGGTGTTTTTCAATTGATATCAGCAAAATTCTAAATCACTAAGGAGAACAGGTTAAAAAAAAACGACTTCCATTTTATGAACCACCTAGAATTTAGATGGAACTTGGGGGACTGTATTAAAACATATTTTTAACAAAAACATTTGAAACCCACTGATTTACTTGTCTTTCAAAAATGTGAGTTAGTCTTGGACGTCTACTAGCTCAAGTTCTTTAACTTCTCAACTGTAACCTTTTATCTCTCACTGCTGTATTTTATACATTCCAGAGTATTTAGGCTAAAACAAAACATAAAGCATAACACACACAATATTTACTGTAAGCTATGGCTATGTAAATATATCATTAGTTAATTTCCTTTTTGTTTTTTAAGGGAGCATACTAGATTGACATAAAAGTTGAATGTAAGATGCTATTTTGAGTCATTTAACTATAGTAAAATAGTGAATATTTGTGCTTCTACTCTCCTTCTTTAAACAATCTAAAAAGCAATGATTTGCCTTTTAAAAAACAGTATAATTAGTTTTCTTAAGATACAGGATGGAATCATTGAATCTGAAGAGGGAACAAAAGTTTTACTTAAACAATTCTCCTTTCCTGCCATGGAAGAGTTTAATTGCCTTGAATTCACTGGTTCTGCTTGAAAGCATTCTATTGATGTCACTGGCGTTTATCTGCTCTTTCTTTGTGATGCTGGAGTTTTAAACTGAGGCCATCGTTCATATTAGCCTAGTGCTGTATCATTTGAGCCATACTTCCATTCTGCGTTTTGCTTTTTTTTATTTTGCTATTTTTGCTTGAGAACTTTGCTGCCTGAGGTGACTTTGAACCATAATCTGTTTTCAGCTTCCTTAGTAGCTAGGATTACAAGCATGAGCCACTGGTGCCCAGTTGCCTTCATTTAAAAAGATGAGGACTGAGGCATGGCAGATCACCTTGCTCAAATAGCAAGTAACAAGCTACTAAAAAGAAGAGAGAATTTTTTAAATACAATGCCAGAAGCAGTGCAAACTAAGTTAGAAGAAGTTTAAGGATTTTTTTCTTTTTTCTTTTTTCTTTTTTGGTCCAGTCGTGGGGCCTGAACTCTGGGCCTGGGCGCTGTCCCTCAGCTCTTCAGCTCAAGGCTAGCACTCTACCACTTGAGCCACAGCGCCACTTCCGGGTTTTTTCTTTT